CCTGTGGGCATCTGTCCTTCCTCAATCTCCTGCCTGTAAGGACTTTTCCAGCCCCTGTGGTCTCCATGGCCTTTGCAGGCCACCTAGGGAAGAGGAAAGTATGAAGAGAACTGAGTGAGAATACCATTCAGTATCTCTGATGAAGCTTGGCTGGAAAATTGGCAAATCAAGACAATATCAATCCTTTTCTGATAGAAATGCAATTATGTTAGAAATCACTTTTAAGTGACAACTAGGGAAAAATACATATGTTTGAAAATGATGAAATCTATTCCCAGATAACTCTTGGATTAAAGAAGGAATCATAATGGAAATCAGAAAATATTTGGAACCAAACAAAAATTTTTAAATACATTTTAAAAATGTGTGATAATCCAACTAGGAAGTACAAACACTGTATACAGAGTGCAAAGTAATGTGGTTCCCATACTGGGAGCCTCACCCTTCTGAAGCCCTAGTTGCATGCAGCACACTACCCACTTCACCAGGAGCACCTCATTCAAACTTCATGCAGCCCAGGATGTGGGTCCAGGCACAACCCCATCTGTGGATGGGAGTCACAAGCTGTGGCAGCACAGTAGGCAGGCTGGGCATGAATGCAGGCTGCTCCAGGAATCAGCACTCCTGCCTGCTGTTCAGTGCTGTCCGGCACGAGTCCTGGGAAGGAGAGGCCATCTGCACAATTTCATTTCAATAAATTGAAATCTAGGTGAAACACACATTTCCAGAACAATGTCACTTAACAAAACTGACCCAAGAAGAAACAGAAAACCTTTACAAGTAGAGAAATTAACTGGAAGTCAAAAATCTTTTGACAAACAAAAACAGATGCACAGAAAAATCCCCAAAATATTCAAGGAACATAATCCTATTCTTCCACGAGTTCAGAGAATTCACACATGACCCCTAATGTACAATAGTTCAACATATTTTTACTATGATAGTGAGGAAGTGATATACATTCATACAAACTAGACTTCAAATTTTGAACCATGATCTTTTCCTGGTCTGGCAATATGCCACAAGATTCTCCCTTGTGTTACTGGCCAGCTCCCCATCAGCCACAAGATCAGCTGAAGAAACTACTGAGACTCAACTGTTCTGGCTTGCTGGCATCATTTGGATATGTTACCTTGTGACTTTGCATCCCACAATATCTAGAAAACCCCCATTTGTGTGAGTACATGTGATACTCAGCACTCTAAGTCAACACTGTGTGCTATATGATTTTGCCCAACTTTAGACCACTGTAAGGATCTTGAGCCCATTTAGGTAGTCCAGGCAAAGTTGTGATTGATGTTCAGTAGTTGAGGCGCATTAAGTGCATTCTCTTGACTCAGTGATTTATTGGGATGCGACACCATCATAAGTCAAAGAGCATCTGCAGTCACCATTTCCATCCAACAGTGTTACAGAGGTTCCAGTCAGCTCAGTAAGAGAGTAAAAAACATATAAAAGGTGAAGCCGTTGGAAGAGGAAAAAGCTACCATTATTCACAAATGACACCATCTATATAAAAAACTCAAAAGAGTCCAAGACTGTAAATCATTACAATTAATAAAGAGTTTAGCAAAATGGCTGGATGTAAATCAGTAGGCAAAAGTTGATTACACTCCACAGGAAAAGTCTGGTTCCTCAACAAATAAATTTAAGGGCAGAAGAAAAAAGACAGAGGGGACTCTGGGAATGAGAGTGCCTCAGAAGCTCCTCTCCCCGGGCCTCACATGAACAGCCCTGGACAGCCTTGAGAGCTCCATGACAGCTATAAGGCATATGGCATCAGAAGAGGGACCTAGCATTGTGGCTGAAAGGCAATGTGCCAAGAGAGATGTGGTCACACACCAGAGTCCATCTCATTAGACACACTGAGACATTAACAGGTTACCTGGTGTCTGACATGGGAGGGGGAGCAGCAAGGAGTAGATTAGACTCAGTCAGACATGAGTGGGCAGAAGCGACAGATGATATGGAAGAAGGGCCCTGAGGGTCAAAATGTCATTATGTCTACTTTTGTGTGTTTGAAAGTTTCCATATTTAAAAAGTTAAAATAAAAAACAATAAAACTAAATAAAATCTGTGGACTTTGCTTCAAAAAAAAACAGTTGGATGTGTACACCAGCAATGAATATTTGGAAAAATGTAATTTCATAATGGTACCACTGACAATTGAAGCAAAAATATGTTTTTATTCTACTGTAACGAGACATGCTAAAATCATTATTGATAACATTATAAGACCTTAGCGAAAGACCTGAAAGAAAACCCAGCAAATACAAAGACATAACATGTCCATGGACTGAAAGACTCAGAATAATGATAACATCAGTGCTCCCCACATTAATCCAGGCAATTCCAATCAAACTTCAAACACTTTGACTAAGTGACTCCAAACTTTATGTTCAGTAACAAAGAGTCAAAAAATACCCAAGAAATTTCTGTAGAAAAATAAGAAGAGCAACCTACCCTGAAAAGCATTGAGAATTACAATACACCTGTAGAAATCAAGATGGATTTTGGCACAGGAATAGAAAACTGATGGAGAGAACCCCTACAGAACCTTGCTCTCATAGAACTGCCACTATAGGTCTGCAGAAAAAGGACAGATTAAGCAGGCCAGACAATTGGTTACTGAAATAGAGAAATGGAGAAAAAAATAACATTAAAGTCCCCCCACCTTACCCCACCTCACACAAACAACAAAAATCAGTTCCAAGTGATGAGACACTTACATATAAAAAGCAAGTTATGGGCCGGGGATTTAGCTCAGTGGTTTCGCCGCCTGCTGCACAAGCGCAAGGACTCAAGTTCGATGCCCAGTACCAAAGAAACAAAACAAAACAAAAAAAAACAAGTTATGCCTCCTTAGTGGACAACGAAGGATAATACCATTATCATTTTCTGATAGATTTTATTAAACTAAACAGAAAAATGTGAACCACAATGGAAATAATGGGTAACCTGTGCTTGGTCTGCAGGTACCATCACGAAGAGCAGGTCCACACACCAGGGTGTCCACAGCCCAGCTAAGGATCTCATTTCCAGAACACAGAAGGAAATCTTGCAAATCATTAACACAAAGCAAACTCAAGAGAAAGATATACAAAAAGAGTTACTGAGAAGTGAAGACCCATATGCCTGATAAACATGAAAAGACGATCATGAATTCCATCATCACAGAACAATACATATTCAAGCCAGAGGAGATCATTTCACACCCACCTGGCTAACAAGTCACCAACTGACATCACTCTGTGCTGTCAAGGACATGGGACAGGGAGAGCAGGCATGAGCCCAGCAAGAAGCACAGAAAAGGAAGAGTCCGGAGCAGGAGGAGGAGTCCAGAGGAGGAGGAGCATATGGGAAACATGTGGAGGAGGAGAAAAAGCAAAGAAAGAATGTGGAAGAAGAGGAGAACATAGAAGGGGTAGAAGAGGAGGAGAGTGGGGAAGAAGCTTGAAAGAAGAGAACAAAGGAGAACTGACCAGGACTTTGATTCTCCTCCATGCCTGGGAGACTCTGGACAGCATCCTCAGGGCTCGGTAACAAGAGCAACAAAGGCAAAGACATGGAGCAGGAAACAATTTCAATGTCCATCAGACATGGAACAAGCAGAATGCCATGGTGTGCATGCCCAATATGGAGCAGCAGGAAAAATGAAAGCATGACAGCTATGGGCCACCCCACAGACTCTCAGGAACAAAGGATACAGAAGCAACAAACCACAGTATAATACCGTGATTCCATTCAATAAAGTTCAAAAACATTCCAGATTCAATAATACACTATTAGGGACATACACATGAAACTAAAACTAAGAAGGGAATCAAGAAGAAATAAACATAGCATTGAGGGGAAAGACGGAAGGAGGTAGGTTGGGAAAAGGCAGGTGACAAAGGGGTATCAAAATCACTGATATTTAAACTGTGAACTATGAATCTCTGCACATCTGAACTACACACAAATGTGTGCATGCATACACCATATACTCACTGCCTTGTACCTCCAGCACAACTTAAGAACACATCCTGGAACCTAAAGTGATAAAGCAGCTCACTCTGTGCCCTGCCTAGGCCCTAGACCCCTGACTGGACGAGTGGAAGAAAAGCATGTGATACAATGCTGGCTCTGCTGCCTGTCCATCTAGGTCTCCTGGTAGCTGCCTCCTTCCAGATTCCTGAAGGGAAGGGGCTTGGGCAGCCTCCAGCAAGATCCACCATGAAGGCCTTGAGTTCAGTAGATGCATACCCCACATGTAGGCAGAGCATGGGATGAGCTGCTGGGCTGAGCCCAAGGGCTGGCCTGTGGCAGGAAGCAGTAAGTAGAGAGCTCAGGACACTCCCAGACAGTAGCTCAAGGAGCCTGCGCTGACACAGAGAAGGAGGCCTAATAAAGGAACCAGTGGCCAGGGTGTGGGCTAATGATGGGCCTACCTGGGCCTGCCTGGGGTGCAAGCACCTTCCAGGCCACACCCACAGCCCAAGCTGACTGTACAGATAGAGGGATGGCTGAGAGGCCTAAAGGAGTCCAGTCTGTGGAAGGGACATGGAGCTCAGTGAAGTACAAAGGGCTGGGGCTTAGTACTCAGAAATATCTAAAAGTGGATACCAGCTGCACAGCCCTGGACATCAATTCAACACCCCCGAGGACCTCAGTTTCTTCTTCTATCTGCTGTGCAAAGTGCCACATCTTCTGCATCATGGTCAGAAAGGCCAGATGTGATCATTCAGCCACGCAGCCTCTGAAGGCCAAACACTCTGAGTGCCTCCAACAGCTTGGCACCTGAGCACCAGCTCTAGGCCCTGCAGGAATATCGAATCTCAGTGTGCCCCAACACAGGCCAGCCCTCACCAAAACTCTTTCTCTCCTGCAGTCCAAATTTCCCCCAGCCCAGGGCTCAGTAGTCACGGTGGTCACTGATCATTGGCAACACTTATCAGAGGTACAACACAGAGAAGACCCGCCCACTGCCACACCCTACCCCTGCCCTCAGATGATATTACCTCTTAAGGGTCCTCAAAAAAGGCTATAGCTCTCCAGGCTGCCTCCACTGGTGATTGATCCATAAGACATTTTCTTATGATGGACAGGGCAGGTAGCCTCCTTGCTGAACTGGAAGAAAACAGGAAAGCCAAGGAGGAGGAAGAAAAACGATTGATAAAGCTTGGATTCAGGTTGCAAAGGACCCTGTGCCCACTCCAGTCCCATGTGACTGGCTCCACTGTTCCAGTTCCCTGGGCTTCTCACCAGCCCCCAAACAGTGGTCCCCACCAAGCCCTTTCTGGAGAGCCCTGTATTCCACTTGTTCCAATGTGAGGATGCAGAAACATGGCCCTGAGAAAGGCATGTCCACCCCTCCCAAGGGACCCCCAGGAAGGCAAGCCTCTGGCCACCTTAAAGACCCTTTGGAGCCCTGTTCCACTTGTTCTCCCACCCCACCAGGCCCACCCACATAGCTTCTGAGATTACTGGGTCCCCATTGGCTCACCCACATGTACCTACTATATGGCATGAAAGCTCACCTGGCCTGCCAAATCTCTGTCTCTAGCACTCTCTTCCTAAGCCACCCCTCACATGGGCCAGAGCTGGGGTCAGACTGCTCATAAGGGATTCTGCCCCAGCTATTTATTATGCAGCTTGCCATCACATACTGGACCATTTGGGACCTCAGTTTCCTCATCTGCAAAAGGAGGGTAAAAAATGACCTACCTCTTAGGTTATGAGAAATAGGTAGTAGATGCACATTCAGTACTCAGAGCAGAACTGACGTATCGTGAGCACTCAGTACACAATTCCTGAACTCATGCTCACCATCCCTGATGTGGATGGGTCAGCATCCCACCTATCCTAAACTGCTCCTCCTGTGAAACACAGCTCTTGGGACCCCCAGCCTGGACAAAGTCAACCAGTACTCACAGGTTCCCTGCCCCTACTGCAGAACATCTATGGTGTGCCTGGCCATTTTCCTAGATCCTGAGGTCATCATCATAGAGCTGCCATATTTGCCTGGAGACCCTACCACACCACTTAAGCCACCTGCACAAAATCCTACTGTAAGACACTGAGTCTAAGAACACAGGGGATAAGAAGTAGGCCCAAGTTCTAGGGGCCAGGTGATGCCAGCATAACCAGTGAGACCCCAGCCTGTGCTTGGCTTTTGTACATGCTTATTTCATTGGCCCACCAAAATAAGACACCTCAGTGAGAACAGAGGAATTGGCCCACACCTGCATAAGTCTCCAGGCAGCATCAGCCAAGAAGTGCTTCTACTTCTGGTCTAAGTTGTGTCCATACTTTATTTTGGTTGTGACATATGAAGAAATGTGCCCCTTGTGGAATGCAGTTGCAGAGGGAGGACCTTAGGGATCCCTGAAAGGAACTTAGGGATCTGACATTCTGTGGGTCTCAAATCTCGAATCCTAGGAACCTTCCCACTGTCACTACTAGGCCTCCCTCTACTTCTCTATGCTTCCTGGGGGAGGGGAACAGGAAACTGCCTCAGTAGGAAAGAGGAGGAGGGGACATCTGCAGGGATAGGCTCTCAGGGAAGGATCTGAATGCAGGTCACGAGAGAAAAATTCCAGCCCAGGGAAGAGGGAGCTAATCAAGCAGGGTCTCACTGAGGAAACCTAGACATGGGGTCAGCCAGGATGGGAGGAGAGAAAAATTCTCCAGAGACGAAAGCTGAAAAAGGTGACAGGGTAATATCCAGCACTCATACACATTTCACATGCCAATGTTCATCTACATCTCTGCTGCCTTCACATGCTCACCCACATGCCCCTGTGATGTGGGCAGAGTTCCCTATACAGTGTCAAAATGGAGGCAGACAGGTAGGATAACTTGCTCAAAGTCACACAGCTGTTACCTGGCAGGGAAAAATTTAAGATCCCGGCAAGTGTAGCTCCAGTGCCTGAATCTTGCCATACTGCCCCCAAAAAGCAAGACCAAATACAAAGACCTTGTGAGCTCCACAGAGTCTTGAGGATATATTCCATCAAAGCTAGTAGCTACCTAAGGAACAAGGTCAGCTCAGACTGCCTGAAACAAGAGGAGGGCAAAGGGGAACCAGTGCAAACACTGTACCAACGCAACATGGGCAACCTGCCAACCAGGCTCTGCAGAAGGTTCTAGAAAGACTTCCTGAGAAGATGAAAGACAGACCATTGACATGAAGAAATATGAGACTGATGGAACTGGAGGAAGAATTTGGCTTAAGTCCCAGAGAAGGACATAAAACACTAAACACACAAAGGCGTCCATAAACTCCAGAGAAAACAAAAGGTTAGACAGGTAAGAAGCAGTGTGTGTGTGTGTGTGTGTGTGTGTGTGTGTCCATGTGTTATGATTTATATCTAAAATGTCTCCCAAAGCCTCATGCACTCTGGGTAGGGCTTTTGAGAGTGACTGCATCATGTGTGTGACACTGGATCATGAGTATATAAGTAGATCAGTCCATTGATTGGATTATCATGGTTCTTGGTGTAGCTGAATTGATTTACTGAAGACAGAATTCCCACCCTGGTTGAGGGTGGCACTAAAAAGTAGGTTTCTGTGACATTCCTTGGCCATGTGGTTCAGAAGCCTTCAGACCTGGGTTGCAGGAGGAGTTTATAAAGGTTTGGAGAGCTGGCTGGAGGTACAGCCCTACAATTCTGTGTGCCATTTTTGATGGGTTTCAGTGGCACCAATAGACTTGTGGCCTGGATGGAATATAAAGGGAAAGATGAAAGGCAGGCTTTCTGCTTCCTGCTTGCCATGACATGGACTGTTTCTCCTCTGCAATACCTCTCTGCCATGTCACCCTGCCTTGCAGTGAGCTGACTATGGATTGAAACCTCTATAAATTATGAGCTAAAATAACCCCTTCCTTGCTTTATCTTGTGGGTTTCAGGTATTTTGTCCCAACAATGAGAAAATAACTAAGGCACCATGGATGCTATACATATGTTACACATATATGTATTGTTTGATAGTTAATTATGATGTCAACTTGAATAAGAAATGCCTAGTGGATTTTTTTGGCATAGTTCTGGGTGTGTCTGGATGACTGAGTTACTGAAGAGGGAAGACCCACCCTGACTGTGTGTGGCACCAACTAATAGGCTTATAGCCTGGATAGAATAGAAAGGAAGAGAAAAAGGAAGTCTTGCTCTTTGCTTCTTCAGACAAAATCCAGTCTTCACCATCACCTTTAGAAGTCCATCTCCAGGCTTCCAGTGCAGATTTTTCAGCCTTCCTGTGCAGACTCTTCAACCTTCCAACATACACTTTGGTTTCCAATAAGGACTCTCATGGGACTCTACAGTAAGCTCCAAGCCTTTGACCTTTGACTAGGTCTTCTAGCTCTCCCGTGCATAGATGGCCTTTTGTGTTCTTCCACTCCTAACCTTGCAGGTGGCCACTGTAAGCCTACCTTGTAAATCGCATATACATTTATATGTATATGTATATTTAAATCTGTTCCTCTAGATAACCCTGATACAGATTTTGATATCAGGAGTGGGGTCCTGCTGGTTTCTGTGATACCCTCAAGCCATCTTTTCTATTGTGATGTGGTAAAGGACTTAGCTTCTTTTTAATGCTAATTTTTTCAGTAATCTAGCTCTCCTCTGCTGTATCACTGCAGGTCTCAATTTTACCAGAGCTTCCTTTCTGGCCAAACTCAAAACTTTTAAATCATTTGGCTGGGCCATTTGCTCTTGATTCTCAAGGTAGAGCTGACTAAAAAGCCCTCCAAAATTACTCTCCACAGCCTGAATGTTTGATTCCCTTGACATTTCCTCCACCAGCTTAATTACCCCACTGCCCTTAACCTCAGTCTCCCTCAAAGTCTTGGGACATGAGCAAAATATAGACAAATTTTCTGCCCAAGCATAACACATACGGCCTGGAGTCCAACAGCCAATGGAGTCCTGGTTTCCATCTGAAACCTTCTGAGCCTGATCTTTACCAGTTGCATTTCTATCACTGTTCTGGTCTCCTGAGTTCTGACAAGTCTCCTATCAAGCATGGCTTAGGCATTCTAGGGCTGCTTCTCCAGCTGGCATCTCCAAATCTTTCCAAACTTCTACTGCAAGCCAGTTCCAAAGGCTTCTGAACCACATGGTCAGGTCGTATCACAGCACCAACTTAACTTCTGTAGTACCAAAATCTGTCTTAAGTATTTTCTTATTGTTGAGACACAAAACCTGACACTCGCAACTTAAAGGAGGAAAGGTTATTTTGGGTCCCAGTTTATAGAGGTTTCAGTCCACAATCAGCTGACTCCAAGGACAACATGGTAGAGGGGCCATGGCAGAGGAGAGGGAGAAGGCAGCAGAGACAGATCAAGGGAAGGAGATATATCCCTGTAGGTCATGCCCCAGTGACTCACCTCTTTCCACAAGACTTCAACTCCCAACATCACATTTAGCTATAAACTCATCAGTGGGCCAATCCACTCATGAGTATCACACCCCCATGATCCAATCACCATCTGAAAGCCCCACCTATGAGTGCATGAAGCTTTAGGGGGACATCTAAATATAAACGATAACAATGTGTATGTTCTGATGTGTGTACAAGTGCATTTGTGTGTGATGCACGTGTTCCTGTGTGGCTATGTACACATTTGTGAAAGACAGAGCACACCTATGAAAAGAGGTTTCAATCCTCATCTTACAAGTCAATGAATGATGTATAAATGATAAAAAAGTAATACAGCATGCTATTTAGAGAAAAGATAAATATCAAAAGAATATACTGTAGGAATTCGAAGTAGCTGACTCTGGGGAGGACAGAGGAGGGCACTAGGGAATACTGTTTTTCTTAATTAATCTTGTAGAACTCACTTACTCTCTAAACAATATGCACGTATAACTTTAAAGTATTAAAACTTAATTTGTAAGATTCCAATGAAACATTATCCAGACAGATCTGGCTGCAAATGAAGTTGAGGTCTGCCAGGGAGCTGCCCTCAGCAAACAGATGCCATGTGGGAACCCAGTAGTCACCTCAAATCCTAGAGAGGTAGTTCTCTGGAAGCCACTTAGCTTTGCCCTGGTTGGCCATGCAGACCAGACTCACAGATACATCCTGCATGCCCAAATATGCCAGGCACTGTCACAATG